TGAAACGACTTGTCCAGTACTGAAGGATTATTTGCTTTTGATTCGTTAAAAGCCTAAAAAGTTGAAATTAACAGGACATAAAAAACTGGAAACTAATTTGTTTTTTGAACTATTTGCTACTTGCTTGTTGCTTGGTAAAACGTAAAAAGGACAGTTAGGAGTTCGAGATTTTCAGTTACTGCAAAGATGGTTCTTAAAATAGTATTAAATAACATTACTAAAACTCTAAATCTCTAAGGTGATGAATTTTTTTAAGATTTAATCATTTTTTAAAACTAATTTTGAGATAAGTTGTCAGAAGACAAGATGCATCAATGTTAAATATGCAAACTGAAATGTTCGGCAACTTTGTGCCAGTTAAAATTTAAGATTTAGAACTCTGACCGGAAATTTTCAAAATTGTGCGTTGTTTTAAGAACTGTACTAATGAAAATTGAACAAAAATCAAATTTTTGTTAAGAAAAACGAGTTTGAATCGATTAATGCAAGTAGTATTTGAGAAATGGTTTGTCATATGCGTTCTAATATTCTAAGGAAACAAATATGGCATCATATATAACTAGATTGTAGCGCGAAAAAGGGCAGGGGGATGTCATCAATAGTCTTTACTAATTTTTTAAAATTTGCATGATTTCGCACCGAATTTAAATAATCACCAGGATTTTCAGTTTTTCTGCGCAGCTGGCACAATCGCAAATAATCTCTACGCAGGTTCATCTAATACCTGAATTTGAAACAGTTCATTCAACCTCAGACTTGTCATCATTTGCGGCAAATACAACAGAAAATATTAAAACTGAAGCGCTAGGCGCGTGTGATAATATCCGAACAGATGGTCAGGTCCGCAGAATCTATTGCTTATTAAGTCCTTCCCAATTATGTGTTGAATTAAATTCAGTTCTTTCATTTAGGATTCATTTTCAATTTAAAAGCATAATATTTTCAGAACACTAACAGTGTTTCACGCGAAACTGATTCCAGAACATCCAGTATTCCAGGAAATGCTGCAGATGAAAATGATTGTCCGATAATGTCAGCGGATGAACCAAAAAAATTGATGCAAGGTAACAAAGTGAAATTTTGACTCTTGAAGAAATGAGGGGAATGAAGAAATGTATTCATAGTTTTCCCATATATTTTCCTTAACCCAGGGTTACAACAAAGAAGTATCTGCACATTATCTTAAGGACTGGGCAAAGCGCCAAATGAGTCCAATTATTTTTGTATTTGTTGCAGTGCATGTCGTTTCCTGATTGTTCCTTCATTACAGTTTGTTGTAATCCAGATCATTTTTCAGATCATTTTTTGGATGAAGATTCGTTGCTAGAAAATTTACCTAAATTTGAGCACTCCAATGCAAGTGGTTTGCCATGTGAATTAACACGCAACGTAAATTGGCTGAAGCCAAAATCGCCAAATGCAAAACCAGATTTTGAGATCTATGATAGTGATGAATATGTCTCAAGGCAGAGGAAGCAGGTCCTGCAAGCGAGAAACATCCATCGAAGTAATGGTACCTCGACCCGTGGTGCAAATGAAGGAAGGTCAGGAGGTAAGTCGTATACCTGCCAGTTGCTAGTTCTGCCTCTTTTTTATTTAGTATTACCATTCGTCGTTCAGTGCTACAGCATATCTCTTGTTGTTATAACAATCGATGTCAATTTTTATAACGTCTTGATTGATCTATCTGCTAATTATCTGATTCCAACCCATCAACACTTTTCAGTATCTTTTTCATTTGTTTTAAATTTCTGTTCCCTTTGTCTTGCTACGATTCAATCGTTTCAGACTCGTAAGCGATAATATTAAATTTGAGTTCCTTGGAAACGGTACATAAGTTTTTCAAAGCTAAAATTTGGGCTTTTGATTGATTTGACAAAATAAAGATTGAAAACTATACATAGATCAAATAAGCATCTGGGGAAAAATAATCCTATTTTGTTCACGCAAGGGATGTTTCTTTTATACCTTCACCCTTTTCCATTCCTATGAAATAGTTTAATGGTAAGAGAATTAAGTGGGTGAAAAGAAGAATTTTTAAGAATTGTCTGCACTACTTTCGTGCGAAAAATCGAGTTAGAAAAAGTCGAGCTGCTTTATCGCTGCATAAGTATGGTGGAGTTGACCATTATTAAAATATTGAGACAATATCTGGAAACTTCAGGGAAGCAAAAAGACAAAGCAATATTTTGGTCACTGAAATAGAATTGGTTTAATCAACCAATATATAGTTTAAAAGAAACGCTTTAATAGTATGATCAACTTTCAGGAGGCTGATTCTATGTCCATCGTAGAGTAAAATGCTATATTAAATAAAGTGGACAATTGCATTGAATAATATTTGCAGGCTTGCCTCCGATGCCTCCATATCATCAGTCGAACGACAATAACTGGCACAAGCATTCACAGAACGGTTCATTATCCCGGAATTATCCCGCACGTCCTTTCTCGACCAGTGATAGCTTTGTTCGTAGTCAAGAGCGAAACAGTTATGACAAGTAGATTTTCAGTTATTTGACACTTTTTATACTTAAATTGAGTTCATGAGTTAAAAATGTCTCGAATAAATGTTTTCTGTATTTTTTTTATAGCACTCTTACTGACGATGCTCCTAACTTTTCCGAGATTACTGGAACAAGATCTAGGGTGGTCATGTTAAAGAAACTTCTTCAAATATAAGGAAAGGATTCCCTACGTTATAAAATATCAAATACGTATTATAGCTTGATGAGGAATATGAGTTTGAAAGAGAAAAATTTTTTTAGAGGATCATCTATGTTACAAAAAAGTCAGAAAATTAAATCACAGCTGAGCAGATCATATTAGTTAAACTCCAATAAATAAGAATTCCCTAAGAAGATAGTGGAGAATTTGAGGTTTCCAAGGGCCTTTTTGTTTCAAGTTTAGAAAAAGGAAAACTTTTTCATATTTTTATATGATTTTCATAATTTTTTTCTCTTTTACACAGCTTGTTTGTTTAACTGGTTAAGGTTCTATGTTGGTAACATGGATCGCAGTCATGATCATTCTCAGTGTAACACTTCTGACAAGCGTTCCACTCCAAGAATGACCAACGTATACAGATCTGCAAACAGATCATGTAAGTTTTTGGAATTTGAGCATTTGCAACAAAAACTTCGTATTCCAAAAACTTTCATTAGATTGAGGTGGTTCTTTCAAATGACACTTACAGCAACTTCCAAGGTTTTATTTAGAAGTTAGAATACATCTGGTTCGAAATTGAATGTGTTTCTTCACCAAATATTATGTAATCTTTATTTGATATTTCCAGCATTCACTTCACATGACAAAAATGATTTGACTTATCATGATGGAAATACCGAAAATTCTTTCATTTTGGTGACATCCGATGACAAAAGAAGTCATGGAACTGCATCTTCGTTACATCGTAATGTGAAGCGTAATGGTTCAAACAAATCTCGTAATTCCCCACCAGTATATCTAGCGCTGAAAAGTCATCGTGAATTTGTTGATATTGATAGTGCTGAGGTTGGTTTTTTGTTTTTCTGAAAATAGATTCTTCCAAAGCTTTTGATAGAAGAAGAAAGCGAGATTGTGATTTAGAAAAGCTCTCTGTTAAAGGCAAATAGAATATATTTTTAAAAACGAAAAATGTGGGAAAGGGGAACCATGCTAATTATTTGAATTTAAATTTCCAACAGATTAATTTATGTGTTTCGTTTGAGACTATCATAATGTATAAAATAAACTGCCCCTGAATACTTGTAAATTAGATCCCTTCTAGGTTCATGGGAGAGGAAAGAAGCGAGGAAGGCAGTTAATACTTTAAAGGACTAATTAATAGTAAATTTCATTTCCTGACCAATGATAGACTGAATTCTCGGAAATATAAACGCTGATGGAGCAGCTCTTTTTTTTGAATTTCATCTTTGAATTTCACCTGAAATTTATCTTGATGGTTTTGTTGGGCATTGTAGATTATAGGGAAAAGTATAAGTACTGATGAGTGAGTTCCAGGGACTGACTTTGCAAGCTTTGTTAAACTCAGAAGTATAGAAAATACGTAAATAACAGCACATTGAAAAACTGTATGGTTTTTAGAGAACTCAGCATTTCTGATTTCCACTGAGAAAAAATTTCATTTGATAAAATGAAGCTGAGATAGCTAAAAATAGACTTCAACAGGCACACTGCATTTCGGGTTATTAGCCTAGCTGTTTGTTTCAGATAGAAGTAATTAGTAGTACGCCAAAGGAGGAAATTTTTGAGCGAAGTCATAATCCACAACGAAGTGTAGAAAGTACGCAAAAAACAGCACAAGATGTTGAACAGCTGACGAGATTATTTTGTGAACATGTTGCAGTTTGTGAAGAAGGTTGGATTTTACTTATTTTGCTTGAATATTTAATAAACTAGCAAAGCATGGTGCAAAATGGACCGGTATTTCAATCATACACCACTTAGAACTTCTGCTGACTGATTAGAGTGAAAGGGATTTAGAAATAAAATGTAAGCTTTCATAAAAGTTTTGAGGATAAATGTAAACGTGCAGTACTTGTCTAAGGTTTCCATTTGTTTTTCATTTTCCCAAAAAACTGTGGTTGCTACTCATTTGTTGGCTCCCAACTTGATTTAGTATTCACTTCGTTGTTTTACTTATATGAGTTGGATTACCTCCTTTTTGTTTAATAATCTTAATATTTCTACCATATTTGTTTTATAAATTCAAATTAACCTAAATTGTCCAATGGAACAACGGGATTATCACACATGGATTTTCAATAATGACACAATCATTTATTTTTAGTGACAGCGTTGTTTGTTTCACTTACTTTGGACACTGCTTACTGTTTAGTGTTGAATTCTTAGGGACCATTTGAGAATTGCTTTCGAGACTTCTAAAACTAAAATAAAATGTTTTTGGATCTTGAATTTCAATTATAACTCTAACCTTTGCACTTTTTCATGAATACAATTGGCTTTTATAATTTTTATTAAAACTTCAATTCACTGTTCGATGACAAAATCGTCATTTTTTTTTGTTCTTTTTTTTTTACGTTGCAGGTATGCATTATTAAGACATTATAAGGACTATGATAGTTTGCGTGATTAATTCATTTGTGTAAGACAAAATCAGATTAAGGGTATGGCTCCCTGTGCTCCAGAGGAGGCAGATGTCAACCTTCGAACTTGAAATGTTATGAATCTCTTTATCAACATAGTGTGCAAGGGAGATCTATTATAAAAAAGTTCAGAAGTCCCCTGCCAATTTTTCATCGCTCTTTTTTCTTCGTCTTTCAGTATTATCACTGGCTGAGGCTATCATTAAAAATATTTGAGATAAATGTCCTTTATCTTTTCGCCCAACTGTTCTTCTGAATTGTTATTTTTGTTATTACATGGTTGTTTTGCGGAGAAAGATATATCTTTACAACTTTTGCAACTAGCAGCCAGCCGACATTTGGTTTCGTGATAGCCTTTCAAAGCTGAATCAGAGAGCATGATATGTAGTGCAGACGTTATCATTAAACTCTATTATTGTTAAAAATTGTCGAGAAGTTTAAAAAAATTAGTTCTAAATTTTTTTAAATTTAAGAAGAAACGAACTTCGATACTGAGATTGGAATTCAAATTTGAAAGCGTCAACAACTTCTGCCTATTCTTGCTTATTGTCAGTAAACTCATGCAAAGATCGTCATCTGCTTATTTTTCAGATGGTTTACATTCTGTACTTGTTTTTCTGGTTCGCAGTATTCAGATACTCTGCCATTGGAACTAGCCCAGTTGGGAATTCTGGTATCGATAAAATACTACTATAAGACAATAAAAGAATCTCATTAGATATATAGATTATGAAAAAGGGAAAAATTCTACAGATTGGGATTTTCTCCCTTAACTCTTGGACATTACTTTTAATTCGTATGGAGCTGGAAAGAATGATGGCTGTCATCAAGCAGTGAAGTTTAAGATAAAGCTAAGAAAATTCGGGAAATCATTGTACCACCGATGATTAATAAAAATTTTCAACGCTAACTTCATTATGTCTTCAAGCATAGTCACCGAAATCCTTTCTCAGTCTATTATGGATTTGGATTTTGCATTTTCTTACTTCAGTAACCGGTGACTACTAAACTTTCAAGCTAATGCTTATTGTTCAAATATATGTATCTGAAATTTGCAAAACACATCATATACGGTCAACAAATGTAAAGTTAGATTGGAATTTCATTTGAATTAATTTAACATATAACACTGGCCAAAAATTGATTATGATGATCGCTGTAATGATCCACTGACAGTGGTCTCAAAAAATTAAATATGCTTAGATAACTTCTATGAATCTGAAATTTTAAATCACAATTCTGTCAGAATAGTGAATATTTTCTGCACGATTTAGCAGATATTAGGGATGGAATTTTATACTGTTCTAATGGTCGAAATCCGAAATTTAAAAGAAGACTCATGATTTATTGAGGCTCTCATTCACTCTCCTAACAATTTCATTGGCTTTTTTTTTCGATCTTCGCCTTAAATTATTTGGTGAATTACAAATGCTTAGTGTGGACAGATGAAAAAACCAAAGTATTAATATTATATAGTGTTATATTGTTAAGTCATTCTGTTTAAAAGTGTGTAGTAGTAGGCAAAGTCATCATACTGCACATTTTTTTTCAATAAAAGCGGCGGCCTTGTAATTATTCTTTCAGTTATTGTCATTCATTTACGGTAACAAGTCTCTTACAGCAGTTTCCTTTATTACTATTTGAAATACAAAAATCTAAGGCATCTTCGCGACGGGTTACTTTTGGAGCTGTGGTAAGGGACTGAAATTGCTAAGTCCGTTCTACACCTGAATCGTACCCAATAACGATTTGGTTTCTCCCATTCATTTGACTGATTTATTGCTGTTTGTGTAGATTTTTTCTGTGAGATTTCAAAAAAGTTTGCCATGGTTTTTAATGATGTGTTTGTCCGTTGTTTTTCTTTTCAAGAACTATCCTGATTCTGTCTTTTCTAAAAAGCCAATGTAAAGGCTGAAGTCAGAGAAGGCTGGAACCACTACTTTCGTTTCATGTGACCCAAATTTTTTTAACGTGCTGTATTTAAATTTCTGCAGAAAGGATTCAGCACAGTAAGAGTTTTCATGCAAACCGATCAGATTTACTTATATCTTAACTAGTGGATTAAAATTAATCGGAAAAGTTTCGAGACTCTTTCGAAAAGGGCGACCTTCGACAAAATTATTCTAAAAAATGTGATACACTGAATTGGTGGAAGTTTCAGTGATTCCATTAGGCAAAATTTGATAGATGTTGATGTTGCAAGTATTAATGAAGCATATATTCAGTTTTATGTGAGGAATGCTTAGTTGATTTTTATTTGCCTTTTGGAAATCTTTTTCCCACACTTTTGGAAGCAAAATGAAAAAAAAATTAAAGGGACTTTATACACAACAACTGGACGGCAAAATTTTAAACCTTACTCAAGCATACTTTTTTTCTCGAATATCAACACAATTTAAATATCATTCTTGTAATGAAAGGTTATCTATATTAAGTTTTAAACGTCATACTTTTATTGAAATTTAATCTAGTGCGACCTTTTAAAAAAACGGAAATTTCTAAAAAATTTTATCTGAATCTGGATGTTTTAGGAGAAATTAGCTACCAGAGCGATTCATCACCAGCAACAATAAGTTCGTTTGTTTCTTCTTTGTTCCGTTCATTGTTGCTAAATACTGATCAGCTTTAGCGTTACTCTAAATGAGAGCATGTAGAGGAAATGTTAGCAGCATAATAGTCCATAATTAACAATGTCGTTCAATTTTGCTATTAAATGATTTTTTTTTTTTCGCTAGTTCGATAGTTTAATTTTTGCTACAGGCGCTTGCAATCGTGTTTTTGTTGAAGAAAAAAAGATCGCTGAAAGAACAATTTCACCAACTGGTAACATAACGGCGAAGCTACTACAGCAAGACACAATACAAACTGCCGATGCCAGACTGGATTTCTCGAGTTGTTTCTATAATTTATAATATTTTTGAATATAAAACCAATAATTTGATAAAGATTATTTTTCAAAATTTGCTGTAAGATGGAGCTTGAAGTCAACTTTTATTACTTCAACGATCTACTTTTTCTTTAGTTTTCCTTCCCAGCTCTTTTTTCATGTTTTCTAGGCGAAGCATCTACTCCAGTGCAGGGACCACCAGAATCAAATTTTATCGATAATGACGGTTTTGAATTGTCAAAATTGGATGTTCTCAGTGAAGAAATTTGGTATTATCACAAAGCTATTACACAAACGGAAGGCGTTCTCAATCGCAAACTTCATCTTCGCGATGTCCTTTACTATGCCATTTCGCCTGTTTTTCCCAGTATGTCAATTGAGATAAATGATTTAGCAACTGAATCGATTCTATTAGTTGCAATTATGCTTGTAGTAAGCACTGTAGTCCTCCGCTCTGTCATTTTTTTCTTGTGCTAATAATTATAACTTAAATAATTTGCAGTGTGTGGTTTGTATGTGGTAGGTTCATCACTGAATGGTTTTGGTACGAATAGCTCTGATATGGATTTATGTTTAATGATAACAAATAAAGATGTAAGTCGCTAAATTATTTATTAGAATTTATTTCTCATTACCACTTGTGTTCTAAAAGCACCGAAGTTTCTAAAACAAACGACCAGGAATTATCGGTAGGCTTACAAGATTTTTCAGAGCTCGTTTTAATCATATTCATCTGAAAATGGTGTGTTTAGTAAAATTATCAGTGATGACTAGTCACACTTCCCATCTCTGCACATCAGATTTATAGATCTCATTTATGTGTCATGTTTTTTGTAGTTAGTCATCCCACTTCAATTCTATATGAGGTTAGATTTTTCTGAAGATTGAAATGAATTTTTGGTTACCATAAAATAAAATGTTTTTAGTTAGATCAACGAACAGACGCAGTGGTGGTTCTAAATATGATCCAGAGTGCTCTAGCTGAAACGAAATGGGTTTCTCACATGCAACTTATTCTAGCTAAAGTGCCTATTTTGCGTATACGTTTTTACGAACCCTTCACTGATATCACTGTTGATTTGAATGCCAATAATTCGGTTGCTATACGTAATACGCATCTGCTCTGTTATTATTCGTCATGTAAGTTTTTTTTCATTTATTGTCATTTATTATTTTTGCTGTATCTGTTTTTCTTTTTTCTCATACATATGTTCTAAAAATTAATAGGGAATCTTAAAGACTGGAAATAAGGCAGTATAAAACAATTTTGAAATAGCACTAGGAAGGCTGTTGCACTCAGTCAGTTGTACTTCTAGTTTCGTCATTTTTTTATGTAATTAATTCAAAACCTTAGTTGACTGGAGAGTTCGGCCATTGGTGAGTGTTGTCAAAGAATGGGCAAAGCGAAGAGATATCAACGATGCGAATCGTTCTTCCTTTACATCTTATTCGCTTGTTTTAATGGTTATTCACTATTTGCAATGTAGGTTTTTACTATAACATGCTTAATCGGCTCGAAAATCCAAGAGTTGTGATCGGTGGCATATAGAACTGTTAAATATCTGTTAAAAAATTCAATGTTCAAGGATATTTATTAAAGCAGCAGTTTGCTTGTAATTAAAGAAAAGAGCCTTGTAATTTGTTTAAACCGAATAGTGTCCATTATATCCATTATTTCCGATCCGATTTTTTCTGGTTGCTTTACTGAACTCCTAGTATCATAGCTCCAATATTAATTGCATTAGCACCTGAAAGATTTTTTGAATCCGTCCGCATCCATCTAATTTTATTTATGGGTTAAACGCTCGTTTCAATTTAATTCTTTTATCGTTTATTAAAAAACATTTTATGTACAACGGATTTCCTTCGAAACCAGAATATTTTAAACTGAACTTTAGCAAATTAACTTCAACAAGAAGCAAGATAGCAGAAGCAGAAGTCTTCCTTAGTTCTTCTGTGCCTCCTTTATCCTGTCATAATTCCAGGTGGCTTGAAGCAGCCAATTTTACCATCGCTGCAGGTAGTATATCCAAAGCGATTTAGTGCGAGTGCTGATGTACGCTCGCTTAATGTTTCAAGTCATCTGGAACCGCCACCGGGATGGGTAACCAACGAAACGATAACGCTTGGCGAATTACTTATTGGTTTTCTCGAATATTATGCGTTTAAATTTGAGTAGGTTTCATACATTTGGGTAAGCTCACATGATTGAAAACTTCGCATTATGTGAAAGGATTTCAATAATCACAAGAATTGGTTGTGTTCGATTATTTGCAAAGTTTTAATTAAAAAATATATGTATGCAATCAAATGGTTTATTGACCTTCGATAGTTCTTTTTTTTTCTTTTAAAAACTTGCACAAAAAATTAATTTCTGGAAAAATCTCACTGCAGCTATTTGAAAGATGCGATATCGGTACGTTTGGGTAGCAAAACAGAACGTACGGTGGTTGCACGACAGCCCTCACCTTACAATAGTAATATTGCTCAGTGGAATTGCATTTGTATAGAAGGTTGTAATTAACTGAGTTTTATTCCAAATTAGGTGAAATTATCTCATATTTGATATCGTTCCATGAATGAAAAGTGGGAATGTTTTAGCATGGATTCAGTTCAAGATTGAATTTTACAGAAGATAAAAATTTTAATTCCGAAAACATCGGCCATTCCCATCCAGTTATGTACCTGGAAATGAAAAAATCAAAAAATGAAAAAATCGAACGAAGGCAGTAGGTGCATCTCGGAAATTTAATTTACGGGCACAGAGATATCGCAATTCCACAGCTATAGAATAACAACTGCTGGTTTAAGAACGAACTATAATATGAAATAATGATTGCGAAAGCGAAGTATGAGTGGTAAATAATAAAGGTTCTGAAACGTAGATGGTAGATGGAAATAATAATGAATAAAAAAATGAACACAGAGTTTAACTTATGAGATCTTCTAGTTGTTAATTAGAAAAAATCTAAATGCCAGATTTTTTTTTCAACTGAAATTATAAGGTAATATTGTGACAGATATTGAACTAAAGGAGTAAAGGGTCTTTGAATAGTAAAAGGAACGTAAAGGAAAATCTGTTTGAAAATCTAAAATGAAAATCTATTTACATTTTATCTATCTTTCAATGCTTATTTGCAGAACCGTTTACTTTATCAAATACGGCTCACTCTGTCCACAACCAGATGGTCTTTGATGCGATTCGTCAGGCATTTATTGATGGTTGCTATGAACTGGATGGCAATCGTGATCTGAAAGCATTCTTGGATGTTGGACCAATTAATGTCAGCATTGGATCATCAATGGGGTAGTTTGGTTATTCTTTCGCTTTGTTTCCTATTAAAAAACAATTTTTTTACAAGACAGAATTCAGCTCAAGTGCACAGCTGAGCATCTTAGCGCAGTCAGAAGCGGGTTCACCAACAACGACAAGTTCTGGTGATGTGACACTAACAATCAAACATTTGCTAACAGTTTCGCCGCAATCAAACAAGAAAAAATATGATCTCATGGAAGGAGATGGATCACTACCTCTTGATGCGGAATCTGAAATGGAGGTGGAAACAGTTGTGGCTGTTCCACCTGACGAACCAATTAGCATAGAGCGTGAGATGAGGTTTTTTTTTTTTGAAAGGGAGGAGGATGGGAGGGATTTTGCAGTATGTTTGATGTTTGCCAGTTGCGATTGCATTCGTTATGATTCACTCATTACACCCTTCTTTTGTTTGTTTAAGGCCTATTTGGATCACGAGAATGAATTTTTTTCCAACAATTTAGCCTCAAAATTTTGTGTAAACGCAGCTTTCCATTGCAGCCAGAAAAATGCACTAGTCAACTATGAGAATGAAATAACAGTTATAGCTAGCGATGGGAAAACTCCAAAAAGTACCAGTGTTAGTGCTCATTAATTCTTTTTTTCTTTCGAATGAATGTGTGAATAAAAGCTAGCGTTTAAAGTCGTAAGGCTGAGATTTAGTTCTAAGTGAAACGCATATTCACGGGTTTTATGAAAATGTATTTATTCTAGGATTTCATAGAAAATGTGTTACCATCAAGAGCGGGATCTGATACTACATCGTCTATGTTTGTTGATAGTCGAATAACTGCAGCAAGTAGCGAGCAAATTTCCAAAACCATACTCTCTGAACGTCAACCAAAACAGCTGCAGATGAAATCTTGTAATGAAAAGTGAGGGACTGTTTCCAGAGTTTGTTGGAAGATAGCGATATGTCATTTTCTATTTCCTATATGTTGTTAATCATTTTATTCGTAGGATGGACATATCTTCCTAAGCGACAATCGTATTGACAATCATATAATATAATATATAATGACAATCACATAATCATACTGATAGCAACAGGATAAATCATAAATTGCATGCAAAGTCTGTAAATATACATCTTTATTCGCTTAGCTTGATTTTACAGTAATTCTTCAAAGTGAGCAGGTATAGCGTTAGATAAATTATGTCGGAGATATCTCCTTAGTATTAATATTGGTAACTGTTGCTGATTTTTGGTTAATGCTGATTTGAATTTGCATTTTTTTAGATTGCATGTCGATTCAGGAGGATCATTTGAGGTCCTTACTAAGCAGAAAAATGCACTGGAGCAGCAGCAGTTTGCAGGTAAAGTAATTGTTCAACGAAGCCGTAAGGCTAACCGTCGTATGCACGGTTCTATGGGATGTGCGGGTCGAAATAATTTGAATAAATCGAGTTTAGGGCAGCCAGTTGTACGAATGAGCTATCGTTCTGGTACTGCTTCATCTTGACCACCCGACTCAGGGTAATATGCTTATGACAAAATTGTTGATGCAGTATCTCCATGAAATACTTTTGGATATTAATGTAAAATAAGTCCAAAAAAAAATTTCTTACAAATTTTGTTTTTACTGATTTAATCTTATGTTCTGTCTGACAATTGTTCGACTGTCTTTTTCATTGCCTGGATTTTTAAATTTTCAAAAAATTGAGTCTTTTCAAATTTCGTGAGATGTCATCTTGAAATACGTTTTCAGAGATCTCGTCATCACCTATATCCACATCTCGTCTTTGTTATTGTCACTGTCAATGTTAATTTTCACTCTCTCTGCTTCGAATTATCTATCCTGTGCAGATGAAGTATCCATCCTGTGCAGATGTATTTCAGTCCTTCTTCCTCTTTCTTCATTTTTCTTACTCTCTCATGGCGCTAATTGTCATGAATATTGTCCTATTTTAGGATCTCGGCAAAATCAACGATTTCTCGAATCTTTTTTGATTTTCTGGGAATGTTCTGGATGGAGAGAATTACCTGGGTTAGAGAAATTCTCATGCGATGAGAAAGACTTAACTAAGGTCGATATTTTTGTTTCATCGTCTCATATAGTTTCGGTTACTTCACTTATTTTATTCGATTTAATGCTGTTTGTGCTTATTTGATTCATTTGCCACTTTTTTCCTTTCTTCATTAGAAAAACAAAATTATTTTAAAAAAATCAGTCTTTTAAAGTTTTTATTTATTGCGTTTTGTGCTACATATTTCCTTATTATTTCCTTTACTGGTTTCATCGACAGCTATCTTTTTTCCGACGATCATTATTAGTTTTTTTCTTGTCAAATAGACCTTGTTGGGTTTTCTTTTAATCCATCGACTTCTGAAAAAATTTAAGAACCGATTTGGGCATTTTTGACAGATTCAGGGTCTCCGGTATAGGTTTTGAATCAATACCTTTTATTAGATTCTGCTTTTATTACTACTTCACTTTTACATATAAAAAATGTGGATGTTCGCGTATCCAACAAAAAAAAATTTCCAGTCTTTCCTTTTTTTATACTTTTGTATAAAAAGAAAGAAATTGTACGTACGTTTTATTGCAAGCTTTCATTTCTTCGCATTACTTCATCGTCCGTCCTTTAGATATGTGGTGTAGGTGTTTCTTTATGATTTTGGCATTCACATCACATAAGCGTTGTTTCATAGATTTTATTTGTGAAGGTACTCGTCATTTTAGTGATTGTTTAAACTTTTGGTCCCGATCATTTTGTACTTCTCTCTTGTATTATACCATCGAATGCTGTTATTATTGTGATCCATAATGTGCCGACTTTTGCTAGTTTAGACTTGTTTTTTATTCTAGTAGCGGTCAGTATAGACAAACTTAGTGTGTATTCCACTTGTCGAACTTTGGCTTCATTCTGAACTTCTTTCATAACACATTTAAGTTTTATAAGACACAAAGTAAATCACTGAACTGGATTGTTTTAGAGGAAAATTGACGCATACAAGGAAATTGGCACTAGCCTTTTTCATTATTTTTAGCTATTTATGTATTGCTCAGTTTTTTTTTTACTTTCTTTGTTCCTCAGCAGAATTCAAGGCAATGATTCTGTTTGGAGGTCTGAGTCAAGTTACCTTATCAAACATGTTATTCTACTCTACCAAGGAAAATGACTTGCTCAATGTCTCATAAGTATATTTACTGCATGATTTATGGCACATTTTGTGCAATTTTACCGTGCTATAAATTTTGAAAAAAATGTTCACGACATCATGTCCATAGTTGTTTTCAGCATCCCAACTTGCTTTCATTGTTTTGGGAAAGGGAGATATTCCTAATGAAAATTTGATATTCCCTATAATTATGAATTACTCGAAAATTTATTTGCTGCATGTAGGATGAGCGTGTAAGACTCAACTTTCTCGTAATGATCAATATGTTTTCTTCAAAAATAAGTGGCGGATAGCACCAGATCTCCGATGGATAATCTCTTGTTTCTCTGGAACGCAGAAATCAGATGAGCGACTGCACGTTTAGATCTATAAATACATAGAAATCCGGGTAAAATCATCACTAAATACAAATTTCATCCAGGCGGAAAATTTCCTAAATCTTCTAAAAAAAAAGCAATACGTAACAACAACATTAGATGCGAAGTTTACTTCCAAAACAAATATATAAAAGTAATTGACAGTAGTAGAAACTCGTGGAATTCATCAATGGAATTTCAGAAAAACCAGCCTTCCTACAGAACAGACAGTTCTATTTTATGCAGATTACATATAGCCCTTCCCGAAATTATCGATATCACTAAAAGAATTCCAGATATTCCATACAATTAGAACATTTTATTTCATTTAGCAGTAAATGGCGACATATTGACTGCTACTGTCGGTGATCCGTTGTTAACATTGCCATTGCATTGGCTCTGTTGATACTGCAAAGCGTAAGCAGTAGGATGGATTTTGAAACCATACAGTCTGAAAATACGACAGCAATGCAAAATTTCTTGACAATCATAAAAGTTGCTTGCCTTGTATTACATCTGAAAGTTCCACGGCACTAAAAAGTTCCCGTACTCAAATGTATTCGACAAAGTAATCACTACAAAAAGGTGTCATATGGATCAAGTTATAAACAAATTGTGACCAGAAGTACACAGACAAAATATGCTTTCTTGGCATACTTTCATTAAAAAAGTTGCAAGACTTTATATATTTTGGACACGATTTTGTATCCAATTTTACAATCCAATATATCACTTCAATCAGACAAATTAGTGTTGTAATTTGAAATTAAAATGACAAAGTTCCCCAAAATTTAAACCTTCTCTCCTCTCAAAATCAGAATTCCCGATCTGAACTAATTTAATCTAACATGAATTATCAGATAAAACAGCAATTATCTGCTAAAGTGATTGCTTCTAATTCCAAAGAGACAGTTTATACCGCGGAACAAAACTTGTTGCAGGTCGCTTTGGTCTTTCTTCCGGATGTACGAAGAAAAGCATATGAGGAAATCCTGTACCAAAATATGAGCCATCAGTATTCTGATGCTTCGATGATTTTGGTACGTAAACGTCGCAACAACGAGGACAGTAGAGTTTAACCATCGATTCGCCTGGTACATCCGAAAGACCTTAAATGAGGAACGTTACATTTAAGCAAAGATTTTTGCAATCCATTAAAACGGCAATCACAAGATTTGTTTTAAACTGTTAATAGAGCATAACCAACGGAAGTAAAGCTAATAGAACAAAATACAGTACTTACAACCCAAACATTTGAATTTTTATTTGAAGGAAAGCTGAAAACAGAGCAAATGAAAAAAGGAAAAAGGGAATGGGTGGGATAATTAGTGAAATAGTCAGGTGAACCAATTGAATATTGCAGTTTATGAACACAAATGGCACAATAAAGTTTTAAAGAAGTTTTTTTTTATAACAAAGTTTCGAATTTTTATAAGAAAGTGGAATGATATTCACCTATTGGCAGCATTGGTTGATTCTCGCAGTAAACACGAGGACATACGCCAAAGTCATGATCATGCCATTTATCGATCATTTGCTGGATTCCACGATTTGTAAGAATATAGCGCGCATGAATTAGTCCATAAAGCATTTCAGCAGCTTGCTCAACCAAATCTGATTGATTCGGATTGTCTTCGAAGTCATCATCTTGAAAAAAAAAAAGAAAAAAAAAAACTCAGAGGCGAGCCGTAGCTTTTGGACAAGCTTTTCTTGAGGTAAGTATTCAAGAATCATGATATAACAAAATATATTTGAAAATTAATATTAATATTTAACTTCTACGGTCTTATTTTTACAGTTACAATCCCTTTAGTGTACATTTTGTCCCTCTAAGCAATAAAATGAAAAATGAAAGTTTTTCACCAAAAAATAAATATGTCTTAATAAAGTCTTCCAATGCAACAGAAGATGTGTTGGCTTCAGTTAATGCAAGTAGCCAAAAATTAAGAACTAGCTTTCATCACGACTTATGCTACATCAGCAATAAAAATAAAGAAAAAAGAAAAACCTGGTTCCAAATCCAAAATCATATCCAGTGCTTGCCGATAGTGTGGGACTTGCTCATTAAGACCAGTTAAATTAAATTTATCTTGGATATATTCTTCGTCTACCTGAAATACACATACAAAGGAAAAGAAATACAAATACCAAGACCAAATGGATAGATAGCTACATGTCTCTGATAGAGAAAATTATTTGGATAACATTTACTCAGAAAAAACCGCTGTAATAAAGTTTTAATATAATGACGACCAAGTGCGGTGATTTCCAACTTATCGTATAGTACAGTATCAAAGAACAGAAAGAATAGCAGACAAAAATGATGTGATAAAGCTAGAGAACTGTTTATTAACTGCAGCTGTATGAAATGAACTGCAGGATTTATTCTCCGCTCAGAGAATGGGAAACCATACCAAACTGAAACTACAACCTGAACCACACCAAACTCTTTATAAAATTTTCCAGAGGTTTCTGATTAAATTTTTTTTAGGAACTGTTAACAACTGACTTCACAAAAAAACTCATTCCCTCGCAGACCACAGAACCACGTGATCCATGACACTTCCTCCGAGCTACTCATTTCTGAATCGGCGTAATATTGCGACCTTCTCACTATTGTTTCTCTGCTGGAATACATTCTTTTGATTCAAAAAATTATGCAATTCATCCTCTGCAGTCCAAACTCCCGTCGATTCACATTTACAGATATTCATCCCATACCTAGCTCCTCTCCTTCCTTTTAAAAGCATAAAAGGATAAAGGTAAAGCGTAAAAAATACATTTAATTGAGACCTTAAGTGTAGCTTGCTCAGTTGTTTAGTAATATAGACGGCTTGATTCTTGTCCAGTTTCAAATGGCGTCAGACACTGCTCTACAAACTGTATCAAATGCGTAACACGCATGGACAAGTTGATTTGGGAGACCTCGCTTCTTCACCCTCGCCCTTCGCCCTTTTATCCAACCACTCCGCCTACACCCCACCAATCAAAATGCGGGCTCATTGAATCCGAAAAAAACGTGGACCTCGAGATGGTCATAATGTAAAATCACGGTCTCAGATACGAGAAAATTGCATACGCTCCTAGTAACTGCTTTTTTTCAGGGAAATGTGCCCCGATGAGGTCATCATCCTATACGATCTATAAACCTATACCTCATCAACCCATTTTCTACAAGTGAAAATTTTTGGAAAAGAATCTCATTTATGATTTATAGCTCAATGAACTCAATGCGAATCTTTTAATAAATTGTTTGTCTGTTCACTCTTCACTTCGCGCAAAATAATGAGATTTTTGAAACATATTTAAATTTATTTTTGTAAGAGCTATAAAAATGATAACAACCAAATAGTTGAGCTTTTAATGGTCCTGATTATGAATGAAAGATTCCTGGAATGATTTATTAACAGGAACTTCGATTACTCTGATCCGCTCCTATTCAATATAATTGCTCTTCTCTTTCTGATCATGGAAGAAAACAAGTGTTTTTCAGGTTTGAGGCCTGGTAACATAGTTATTAATAGTCTTGGCAACGCATCAACCAGGAACATCCGGTCGACTATTCTAAAAGGACTGTACTTTGGTGTTTCCCCTCCACAGTTACAACCACATTTTCTTTTGCTTTTGGTCGACACTTTGATATTTGACTCGAAATTTTGCATATTTTGGTGTTTCAAATAATATTGGAAATTGCCAATGTCTTGAATTTTCTTCCTGTTGGATCAAAATTATATTATTTACTATTATAGTAAAGGACATGCTCCAATTCTGTCAGAACAAAAAGTTTTATCAACCATCGAGAAATCTAAACCTAACAGAGGCAAGATAGGGTCTGGTTTGTTGGCAAGACCAAGTTGGATTTAGTCGGGTAACAACGACGATTAAGTTAAACCAATGATGTATTAACTTAGCACATTAGTTCACTATCTCCCGGATATCTTTCTATGAGTGCATAGAGTCGTAGTTATAGTTCCTTCAATTTGTCCTCATTATGATGAATGTGTCTGTGAGATTGCATTTGACCTGCATTGCATATTGTGCAATTTAAATCTGCCTAAAGCCTAGATGTCGTGGAAAAAAATTAAGAGAATTAGAAGATGAGGATTACTGTTCTTGCTAGTAATAAAGCAATTATGTTTTATAAAAAAATGACTTACTGAATACTGATTGGTTATGTGTTCGAGGAGTATAATAGTTATCCTTTATTGTTGTTCAAATAATAAATACAATAAAAACAGGTTAGAAGTAATTTCGACTGTAGTATAATAAAGTCCAACTTAATAACGTAGAATAACGGGAGAAATATTGAAGTAGCAATTCGTAAACGGAGAGGAAATAAATCAGGATTGTATTGAGTAGAGTTGAGTGGCAACGTGGAGAAAATTAACATTGGATTCTATTGGAGTTTCTTAGGGTTTATATATGGGATGTGTGAAGAGGAACAATCATTACATATTGACAGTATTCTCACAGGTCCAAGAGAAATTTACATATAAGAACAGTTTTCTGTAGAAAAAATTGCATAGAAATTATTTTATATAATGTACAACTTTCTCACCATTGTATACAAGATTTTGCATGGGATAAACCCTTTACAAATTAGTTACCATATATGCACAAATCTTAACATCAGAAAAAGCACTTTTAGTAGATTAGATAGCTGACTCATGATTTTAAACATGAGAGGAAAAAAAAATGTAAATGCGATCTATTTGAATGAATGATTTTATGATACAGCTATTTCGGTTTTTCCGACACTAGACACTTGAACCACATTACATTACATTGCTCTGGCTCAATTATATCAGGCCATGTTATGGTCACGCAGTGTAAATCAAATTAGTTCATAATTCAAATGAAGCATCAAATTTAGTCAGTTAATTCTGATCATCACACTGCATAAAAAATAAAGCATACAAACAGATAACTTGGGCTCATTTACAATATCACTCAATATAAAGCAAAGCATGTGATGTCATACAATGCAAGTTATATAATGTAAGTCAGTGCCATCAAGTTTCGGAAAGTAGTTGGACTTTGCAAAAGAATTCTTTTATCAAGTACGCTCTTGTCTCGCCAAAAAAAAATCTTTGGAACTTCGAATAATAGATATTGAACGCATACAGCTGATTATGGGTGGAAAGTTAGTACGTCTTAACTTTAACTGTGATGATAAATTCATTCTCGTCATCAAGATTATTCGACTGCAACCGTGGTCCATATGTTTTCAAGAATTAAACCGATTTCCTTGCCATCATCGGATGAGCCTTCAGTGAAACATCAGCAGTAAATCTCGCAGCGATGAAGTCAAGCTATCCTTGTTGTTTTCTTCAAGTGCACAGATCTTTGTCAACGCGCAGTCAGTTGGCTGTTTTTACTGAACTTATGGTACCTCAGAGATTGTGCGTTTACTTTGTCTAAATTCAATTTAATGATAAATAACCTTTCGTTATGATAGTACTAGTCATCTTATTACAAGATTCGATCATCAATTTAATAACTGGTAATCTGATCTGATGAGATAAACTGTCCATCAAGAAAGCATTCATGTGGCCGCCATACTACTGTTACCGGACATTAACGTTATCGTAACAATTTTTCGAGATAAAAGCAATACAGAAAAAGTGTCAAATAGGAAACATTGGTCCTAACGAATTTAATAGAGAAATGAAATTAAAAAAAAATATTTTGATATCTCATTCATTCCTTTATCTTGTTGAGAAGAAAACAACCTCAAGTTTTAAGTAATTTTCAAGATTTTTGTGAACCTGATGATTGCTGACTACATCCATTGGTCAGTAAATCAGATAGGCACATAAGTAATAACACCAAATAATTGCTTTCTTTCATTCCAGTTCCAAAAGCCTGCAAACCGCATGAAATGATTTGTTCTATTTTAATTTGGTAATGAAAAAGGACGGATAATAACTTATGGTTTCCTGTATCCGGCTAACCGGACTCATGCTTATTGGTGTACCTGAAGCACTATCAGAATAGTTCTTGCAACCTAAAAGTAATATTAACAGATTTTTCATATATTTAAAGATATTTTAACGACGTTCGATAATAGGTATTTCACTATCGATCACGCTTAATCTGAAATTAAGTATCTTGTTGAAAGTACTAGCTAAAAGAGATGCACTTACCCAATTAATAAATCTGTCCTTAATATTTGCGACCAAGTTTTTCTCATTGATTAAAATTAAAATTATTTTAATTTCAGCTGAGAACGCACTTCCCATTCTCTTCAACATCCTTAACGTCATCCAACTGTCAATTTAAAATCAATCATGCAACAACATCGCCAATTTAGATCGTTTCAATTGGCGCAATTATTCGTATAGACAGTTTATGAGAATTCAAATTCGAAATTGGCGCCAAATACTTGATTGGTAGCATTTCTAGTAATGCATGGGTGAGGGTGAAGAAAGAATTAACGGTTGTTTTCCGTGATGGATGAGGGTTCTACTTTCCTGTGAAACTCTTCTTGTGTCACAGCGGGCAATTCCTTCGACTGATCCAATTCAAATATGCGGGAGTTGTTGACCCATTCATGTAAATCATAATAAAATAAAGATCTTCTAGAAAGAGCGATCACTACTGATTCCATTGATCTTATCCACGACTGATCTTTGATCCTCCTTTATCGATAGAATTATTATCAGCTAAGTTTAGTTAAACACACAGTGAGGAAGGAAACAGTGAAGGAGTTGGCCATTATCTGTCGAGATTTCTTTGTTAATCGTTTAGTGGATTCAGGATGACAGTGGAAAAATTACCACCCAATGAATTTATAGTTAAGGTAATTTTTTTGATCATTAACTTTTCAATGTCACTGTTATTCCATGTCGTCGACTGATAGAAAGCTATTTGCATAATTTCACTAGCTTCTAATTTTAGGTGGGAAAAAATTTTGGAACTTTCAAAGACGAATAATTTCTTAGAGCCTTAGGAAATATGCTTTGGAAATATAAAATTTCTTGTGAATTGCTGAAGTAATTTTAGGTACGCAGAGGTCGTATTGATCGGCCTGTTTACATGAAGAGAAGAGCCGTAATGATATTCAATCGTGATCAAAAAGACATTACTTTTTCATACGATAACTGTTGCACTGTATGCTTTTTCTTTATGTTTCTGTGACTGTGACGATTTCTAAAATTATTTTACTCCAATTTTAAGCCCCACTTGATTGTTGTCTTTTCTTTCTTTCTCTTTCCTTTTAACTCCTTTATCATCGTGTTCTTCATTTCAGCTTTCTAAAGGCATGAGTTTTTATGGTTTCTTTCAGTCAAAATTCCATTCATGAGATTTCAATAGCAAATTCTTGTATAAAGGGAACAGCACTCAAATTTTGCAGATATTGAAAGCAAAACTTATATCTCAAGTGCCTTGGTCGCCTCCACGAGGATGCACATTACGATTCATGTCAGATACTCGAAATGAAGAGGAAATGATTTTGGAATTTGAAAGTCACGAAAAACTGATGGAAGCATTCTCCATTCTAAAGAGCAAGTATTTAGGTATGTATTTGAACTTTTATAATATTTTTTACAAGATATGATAGGTCTTTTCAGCGGCAAAACTTGTGCATAAGCATATTTGTGTATGAGAAATTTAGCTGAGGTCTGTCATTGCAGAACGATCGCAATTTGTGTTTTCGACTGAACTGCACAGTGGTCGAGGTTTGCATACAACTAATGTTGAAAACAGGATGGAAAGACCTACTGAGTTAGTTATCTTTTCATTGAAAATATACTGCACTCATGATTTTGTTATATGCAAAAATCCATACTTATTTCAGCGACGAAGCACCTCCAATGGCTGTGGAATCTCGAAGAAGTCGCGTTAAAAAACGTTAGTTTTTTTTTTTTGTTGCAGAAGTTTTGTTGATTATAACATAGCCAATTTAAATCAATTTCATGGAATATCGACAACATCAATAATTAATTGGACAATTTAGACGCTCGTTGAGAAGTTCTTGAAGCATATGGAATTCTGTACTTGAAATAAATCTTAATATGTATTTAAAATGCAGAAATCTATGCATTTATCTTGTCGAGTTAATGGATATAAATTATTTAACGTCACTCTCTTTAGAGATTGGATTGAGACAACGTTTTATCTATAGCAAAACAAATTGATGAAAACAAATTAATTTGTTTCCAAGGAAAAATATTCCAAGAAAGCATAATGTTTAGTCGTCTCTGAATTAACGATTTAAAGTGTCCATAAAAATAAAGAAAACTCTCGTGAGTAAAAGATTTTAATACTCCTTTTTTCATCTCTTATGGTTGAAAATTACCAAATTTTTCAAAGTGCAAAATAATATTGAGATATCACTTTTTAGTTATAGACATGTTCGAACGTTTGGCAATTCCACCGCCAAATGAAAAACGGTCCAGGCAGTCTGAGCCATCGAGTGAGGTGACAACAGAAGAACATGTAAAAGCCTCACCGCTGCGGTTAGTAATTTAAAAGGAAAAAATGAAAAGGCTTTCTTAGCCTTTTACTTTTCACTCTTAGCTACATGCTTACTTTTAAGTTTATTTCCCAAAATTTCTTTTCACAAATTAATTACTGCTTTAAATATACAGATCTGAAGGATCAGAAAAGATTAAAAATGGTCAGCATGATCCGATTTTTGTCGAGTATCGCAAGGTAGGCAATCTCTTTTTTTAGCTTTTTACTTTTCATTCTTTTACTCTGCGCCAGGTTCGTGAATATCCATTGCAGAGAAAACACACTCCACTGCATTTAACATCACCAATGCGTACACTGGATGATGATTATAAAGTCATTAAGCCAACTAACTCACAAGAAAAGATTTCTGGGTAAATTTTTGGCAATTTATTTCTACTATAATTCTTAAAACAATTTATATTCAGTACTAAATACAATAGTGAATAGTAATCACCATCTTCTAAATGCGCAGCAACAAATACTTTCATGACGATACGACAAGATCTTCAGTCCTGTAGACATATTGAATTGCCTATTCAACTGTTAGGAGTGCAAATTACTTCTAACTCCCAGGATTTATGCATATCTCGGGCACACACACACTAAATGCGAAATCTCCTACGCTGCCATTTTTTATGTCTGTTTTACGTCAAAAAGTTTAATGATATTTACGTTGCTCCTTCTAAAAGCCAAATTTTTTAAGATTTGCTAATCTCGGCAACACGTGTTACATGAATGCAATGCTCCAGGGACTGTTTGCCATGGATATTTTTGCCAGAGATCTTTTCAAGCTTTGTAAGAGAGTTCAGAGTCGTAAAATGAACTTGGATGAAGTGGTACCAATGAGCTTGTATGTTTTGCTTTTGCGGTTTAATGACTTGTGATGAGGAAGGTCGTATTGAGGATGTTTTCCTATTAAATTTTTCTAAAAGACGCACCGTTAATGAGAATGGAGCATGATATTAAATGGATGGTAGACTCATTTTGCTCATAATAGAAATGAGAGACTCATTTTGCTCATAATAGAAATGAGAACTGACCGAGGCGTCATTTTGGTGACCTTCTCATTTAGAGCTCTTTCGAGCCTTGCAAGTGTTCGAGACAGGGCTTCATATCAGCAAAAACGAGAAATATTGGCAGCAGTAAAAGATTTATCGCGTTTTAAAGGCAATATTCAGCAGGTTGATAACTTTGTTTCATTTGAAACCGCATAATTCATTTCCCGATTTTTTGTCTGAGAAGAAAGTTGTATTTCTCAAAAAATTTTCCTTCATATAGTACTCAAATCTCATTCGTTTAGTTAATATGAAATATGAGACGAATCGGTGTAAAATATTCAATGTATTAAATGTCTGTATTTCACTATATGCTAGCAGTGGAAATACCATTAAAAAATACTACTCACATGAATTAAATGAGTGCAAAATGTGTCTAGTTTAGGATGCAAATGAATTCTTGGTCCGTGTACTCAATCAAGTTCACGAAGAATGTGATAAGGTATTGCGTGAACAATATGGAATTGTAGATGTCGCAGAAAGACGCATGCGGAATCCAGTAATGGCAAATTTTGCTTTCACTATGCAAAGCACTATTATCTGTAATATGTAAGTTCCTTATATTCTCTCACCAGCATTCCAGCAATAATTGAAGTAGCGCAGTCGAGTCTGACGAAATTTCGATTTTGATTCTTCTTTTCTAATTTTTGATATGAATTTTATAAACATGAAACAATAAGAACTTTGCGAACGTGAGCAGACCTTTCCTAGCGAATGATCAGGGATGGAGGAGATAAATGATCCTGACGAGTGCTGGGTGGTAATGAAAATAGTAAATTGTCTCGCCTAATTTGTCTAGCCAATAAATTCAGGTGCCATCATGTCTCACAAACTGTTGAAGACAGCATCATTTTACCAGTTACTATCAGTGCTTTGGATCATCCAAGTGAACGGTGAGCAAACGAGTGTGGATACCGATAGAACAAATGGAACTGTTTTCGCTAACTGTTAAATCGCTGAAGATCTTATGTTGTTTCACTTTGACTCTATTTATAAAAACAAATGTATTTCGAAGCGTTGTGGTACTCGATAAAAAGGTACTCAGTAATTGCAGTATACGCGTGCACTTTTTCCCATCATTTTAGATTTTCGAGAAATTTTTCACGTTTTCCAAGTGTGCAAACGTTGCTGGATGAGTTTTTGAAGACGGAAAACATCGACAGGAAATGCGAACTTTGTCAAGGGAAAAGTGGACAAAGAACACAAAAATTTGTTCAACTTCCACGGTATTAAAAAATAATTCATATGGAGTAATTTATTTGGTTTTTATAGGCTATCTCATAAATCATCTGCTGTAGCAAAATTGACACATACAAAGAGAGCTTGGCTAATTTAGATATAATATATATTTAATTTCTTATACATATTTAATTTTGTTTAAAGAATATATTTGATTCTTTTTAAAAGCTATAAGCTGAGGAATCTGTTATATGAAGGATTAGTCGAACTACTTTGGATAGCAATGTCAAAGAGTTCGATAAGTGTAGAATGGCACAGTTGTAAGGAAAAATTTGAGGTAACGAATAATTCTTTTTAATTTCAAATTTTGTCTAATTTTGTTTATTCCAGATGTCTCATAATACTCATCAAACGTTACGTTTATGATGTATCGAGAAGTGTGAAACGTGCTGATAAGATTGATATTCCCTTATATTTGACTCTAAATGGACATTGTGTTGAGTCACCAGCGCCGTTTCCCGCCATATCACCAAGTACAAAGTAAATCGTTTGAGGGAGATTTTCCACGGCAGGAAAGCGATTAGTGAGAGGAAAAAGATTCTGAGTTTTAAATTGAAATAATGTTATTCAATTCATTATAATTGTTCAAGTTATTATTGTACTCGCCATAAATTCAGACACTGTGTTCTATCCTTTTCTACGTTGTCAATTCCTATTACTGTTTCATGTTAAGAGTTAGACTTAGATTTGGTTTTTGGCGGTTTCAGAGAAATCGATTTCACAACTGCGAGTCCGATGAAGACAAAGCTACTAAAAACATCAGCTGATGTGTCTTCACCAGCTAGACGACGTTTAGATTTGTCAGATGAGGAAACCAGTTATGGTACTCGAAAAATCAGTGCTGCTGAGGAGACGCATCCTGCGATAACAAGTCTCTGCGGTCATTCCATGGATTGTAGAATAGGTAAAAATAGAAGTACAGCGACAGACGAAGTATAAATTTGGACTTCTATGAAAATTCTTTAGAAAGAGTTTGTGGTGGATGAGCAAGGGGAAAATTTAGGTTAAAAATGAATCTAAAAGATAAATATATTGTTCATTAATTAAATATTAATTTTGTATAAAGATCTTCGTTTGCAGTGCAAACTAACACAGCTGCGAATCGTGATATAGACTTTGCTGTTCCTGGTATTGGTTCGAAGTTCAAGGTTTGTAAGTTAATTAAACGTAGTTTTTAAAAAGGTTTTTTATTTAAAATGACATACAAAGCACATGATGATATTACATTATAGGACGGAGATCAAGTAGCTGAAGATTTTGTTGTACCGTGGAACTCAGCAGAAGAGTATTTTTTCTCTTTTAATCAGATTTTCTAGTTGCACTGGAATGAATTTTCGTTTTTTATAAAAGCCATTAACAAGACAATCATTAATATCCTCTCTGAATACTTTTTATATAAGTCATTTTAGTCTTCTAAATCAATAATATAGGAGTGAAAGCAGTATTCGTTTTATTCACTGGTCTCTGTTTTAGTTTTAAAAGATCGAAATCACCGCGTAGCTTAACGTGCGAAGAATTAAATCATATGAGCGAAGAAGAGCAACTGCAAGTGGTGAATACTGACTTTTAAAACTTCAAAATTCAAACCGATTCAAATCTGGCATCATTTTTCATGACGAAATCTTGTCCACCCTTCTAATTTCACAAACAAATCATTAAAATTAAGTTTGATACTTGCGAAACCCTACAATATTAAAGCTTTCGATACAGAACCAATTGCTGTTAAGGGTTGACTGTCCCAGTCAATCCTAAAGGATAATATAAATACATAATATAGGCAGAACAGTTACAGCACCCATGTAACGATTTCAGGGACGGGTTCAATCTAGAATTAGTATATTGCACAAGTCTATAAAATATATATATATTAGCAATTTTTAACTGTAGGTTTGCGAACGAAGCTTGATAGAGACGGAGTTTTTGAGTAGTCAGAATAAATCAAGTGATTCATCTGTATCTCTTGAATTCCCGGAAGCCGAGGCCGAAGAAGAGGTTTGCAACAAATATTTTGAAATATTTATACTTCTAATGTCAATGATTCCATTCGAAAAAATTTTTAGGTTAAACTTTTTATTCCTTTTATATTAAACATCAGAAATCTTTTAGGACAACGAAGCAGAAGTACCATCTAGGCAGATTAGCGGTATTAAAGAAAAGACTGCGAAAAAGATAAGTCCTGATATAGGATTATCTGAGGAAGTAAAGGATGAGCAAGTGGGAAGAAGTAGGCAAGGAGTCCAGTCTGTTAGCCAGCAGAAAGATGGGAATAGCGGTGTGAATCGCATCGAATCTAATAGTGGACTTGAGCTTGGAAATGCCGATTTTACTAGGGAAATGACCATAAAGGAAACGGTAATGGTGCTTGATGGTGCTGGACGAATTAAGCAAAGTGGCTGCGAAATAGAACCTAAAGTTGTAAGTTAGAAGAGTATGTGGTATTTGCAAAAACAGTAGTGACACACAATATGGTAATAAGGCAAATCAGGTAAAAGGTTTTGTCCGGTATGGACCATCTGGAAGTCAAGATGGAACGATACATCCTAAGGCCTCAAAATAGTTTTGTGTAGAAATTTCGCTATTAAATGACAGAAAGAGTCAGATATCGATATTCGTTTTACTATCTTCAACATCTATAATTCATTTATTTTATTTATTTTTGTTCTTTGTGAAATAAGCAAGATCCCACGAACAGCTTGCAAACAAAAATTGAAATTTTCATTGCAGATTGAAGAGAGCCACATGAATTCTCTTGCACAGTCACCGACGCAGACGAAGCAGACGCAGGAGGACTATGTTGTTAATGAGATTGTGGCGAAAAACTACGATGTGTCGTGCTTTTTACAAAGAGGGATGAAAATTGCTGTAGCCGACGTACAAAAAGGTAAGGCAAGTTAAAGCTTGCATATTTCGAAATTCGTAATTAATTTCAGTGTGGATTTTAAAGTTCTGTATGTCCTCAATTTTGCTTTTATTTCTTCAACTTCATGGTTTGAGTAGTAGTTGTCGCTTTTAGCCACTGAAGACAAAAGAGACCGAACTAGACCGTCTACACCTGTTCCTCCTAACACTCCGACTAGTATGACCGAGCAACATCAAGGAAAAATATCGCGCGAGAGTAGTCCATTCAGTGATGATGATGTAAGTTTAGCAGTTTGCGTACATCTAAAGATCTATGTCTTGTATCATTGTGTGGTCATCAAATGAGTTAACGCCTTTTTGATGCATAAGTTCGAATTGTCTTTCTTGTTCAATTATATTTGATATTCTACTCGACTGCCTTATAAATGTTGCGTTTTTGACAACCTCAATCGTTTATATAGCAGTTAAAAGACACTTGCATTGGATAAATAAAATAATGAGTTTATATTCTGATCCATGCCACATACCACTGTAGTTGCTAACTTTTCCAAAGATATTGTTAGAGTAATTTATGATAAACACGAAGTTTGAATTTCACTGTTATTTTTTCATTTCTAAAATAAGTTATAAGCCATTTGTTGCGTTTTTTTTTAAGAAAGAAATTTTGGAGGAATCTGGTGCGCAGCTGGTACCGTACAAACCGATATCTGCTGAAAAACGACGTGCTATTTGTTCTCGAATTGGTTTACTCTTCAATTACGATTGCATGTAGAGTTTTTTTCTTCTGAATCTGTTTTTTAAAATGAATTGAAAAATATGTGGTTCACATGAATTTTGTCTTATGCGAAGAAACGTATGAATAGTCAAAAATGAGCTATGAAATTGTTTTCAAAATACTTAATTTTGCGACGATGTTAGCAAAATGAAATTCCAGTGAAAAAACCACTGTTCGCATAATGAGTCCAAATGATCGTCCATCTCGAGTTGCTGACATTGTTGGTGACGGCAACTGCTTGTTCCGAGCACTGGCTTTTTACTTCGCTGGCAGTGATCTCGAACATTCGAGAATTCGAGAATGCGTAACATTTCAAAATCTTTTGTATATTGATTCTAAATCAGATATATCATGCATTGTCCTGTATTGGAAAACTCTTCAGCTAAACCTACAAATAAATGCATCATAGTTCGAGTCGGTTTTTGTCAATCTGAAGTTATGCTATTTAAATTTTTCTGAAATAGTGAATATTTCTGCTCATGAAGTGTTTATAGATAATTTACACAAGCATTTTATTTGTAGATTGTTGAATTTGAAGCTGAGCACTGGAATGAATTTGCTGCTTTGAAAGGCTGGTCGTCAGATATCTGGAATGAACACATGAACCGTTTGTTAACTGATAACACGTGGGGTACCGAAATTGAACTTTTCGCAGTCGCAGCAATGTTAAGTGTTGATGTGTGGACATATTATGATCAGCGATGGATTTGCTACCGACCAAGATTTAGAGTTCAAAATGGTGATACTATACGTGAGTTTGTTTTACCACTTTTTTAATGGTCTCCTACTGTTGATTTAAATCAAAATTGTGAGAAATTCATCGATTTCTTTCCTTTATAAAAAGAAATACGCTTCTCATCTGGTGTTATTTATTCTAGAAACTTCATGTTAAGTTTTTTTTTTTACATTTGGACACTTATTAAATGCAAAACAAGCGGTAGGTTTAGTGAAATTAAATTTGTCACTACTACGTTTTCATAAATACCAGTTGAAATCAAAGGTGCTGACCATATCGGAACTGACAAATATGTTTTTATATTATTTCCTACACGTTATTCAGTTTGGCATGATATTGTCGGATGATTTAGATATATCGGTTGATGACTATCGTAAAAGTGATAATGATGGTATATATTTATTGAATGAATCCAATCATTTTACGCCGGTGCTTGAACCTTCGGTTAGAGCTTGTATTTCTTTGTATTATTTCAAATCGACGACTATTTTGGCATTTAAATAGTGTTATTGCATTAATTCATTAATTTTACTCGGGAAAAATGCAACTTTTGTACCGATTGCTTGATTACATAGTGGTGATAACTTGATTCAGAATGCACTTCTCCTGATGGAAGGTGCTGACGAGCGGATTTGTGATCTAGTTATAAACGCCAATGTAAGTTTCAGGCCCACTCAATTACTTTGGGTAGTTAACATTCTTTTAAGGTAACTTTTGAATGGACATTTTTATATGAGCTTCTTGTTTACAATTTTTTTAATTTGCACTGATGTGCTGCATCTCCCGACTGAATTTTGAAATGAGGAGCATCCACAACCTTAGTTTAGAACTGACACGGATTTCTATAACAGATATTTTTTCATTAAGGAAGGTTTCATGAAGCCGTCTTATCGGCTTATATCGGTTATCAGTCATCTCGGGTGTACAAGCGAAAGCGGTGAATATTTTGAATTCATTTTAACCATTTCGTGGTCACCTTTTGTATTTGAAATTTCTTTACAAGAAATTTTGTCGATAAGAATTTTGACTTTGAAAGTTTTACGTATTTAAAAATTTGAGCGTAGAAAAGCAGGGAAACAATGATTTTTAGGCCACTATATATGTGATACCTGGTGCAAGAAAAATAAAGGTTGGCTGCTGTGTGACGACGAAGCAGTTTCGCCGATCACTGAATCAAAGATACCGGCCAGGAGTAATGTCGGATATATCTATTTTTACCTTAATAGGTGCTTTTTTAAAAACTTGTCTGCCAGATGCTGTGTCAGTCGCTATGAATAGGAAGAATTTATAGTGCCGTAAGAAGTTCCTCATATTTAAAAATTTGAGCATAGTAGCACTATGTTTATTTCGTTTTTCATAATTCAGCAGTTCAATACTGATTTTGTTGTACATGATAGTCATTTCCAAAAATCTTTCACGTTTTGCTTTTTTTTCTATTTGGCGCAATATTATTAGGAAAGCACAACACTACTGTCATATTGTATTTACAAAAACTTTCAGCGAACTTTTCGAGAGTGAGAATGCTTGACTGGTGAAAATCAAGAACCAGTTATTGTTTTATCGATAATTGATCAACGTTTTGAGATTTTTGGGTTTATTCTTCGTTGTTTGTTATTTCAAAATTTCGAATTTTTCGCTGCCTTACCTTCAAGTTGTCGTTACAATGAATGTGGATGTGATAGTAACTTTGTGACTGAATATGGATGTGATAGTTGCTGTCGGCTTATTTTTGATGGGTATCAAGTCTTCATATCAAAACGCTGACAAAATTTTCGAAATTTTCTAATTCAAGAGGAATTCCATATGGTATCCATATGGTTTTATGTGTTATTCTGTACATTGTTTTCTTTGTTCTCAACTTAATCGTTTCTTAATTAAAACTGAGCTGGAAAGGCGGTGTTTCGCACATTCAGTCACTAGTGGAAGTCTCTTTGGCACCACTTAGTAACTTAGTTTTTCTGGCGCAGAAATGGTGCATAAAATCAGTTTCTGAAAGTCGTGGAGGTATAGCTGGGTAGAAGGGAAAAGTAATGAAGCAAGTAATTTAAATGCAAAAGAAGAGAAAGTAATGAAACAAGTAATTGGTCATGGAGACACCGATTTTTCTCGTCAAATTTGACCATATTAAGTGTTCAAATTTGACCATATTAAATGATTCATGCACTATCTTAACTACAGTTGCAATGAGTAACCAAGAAGTATGAGGAGCAATATCAATTTACTAAGATTCAGTTGGTTCTCAGTGTTAAATGAGAAGTACCTATAGCTCTCCTAAAGTAGGAAAATAGGCTGGAATGAAGTAGTCCTATTTCGTACAGTCACTGGCTAACGCTGATAATCATGGGAAGATCCTTAACTATAGATATTGAAATGAGCAAATGATCTATAAAAACAGCTTATACTTTCGGGTCGCTCAATTACAGCTTATAATTATCAGTTGGTTTCATTACAGAGCCGAACGGCTTAATCGAAGTATGCTATGGAGTTGATGTCACCAGTTCCCTTCTCTCTGTTGCTATCTACATTGCGGCATGCCTCGTTATTAACCCTTCTTGTAGTTTATTATGTAAAAGTTAAACGTCATCCCTAAATATTAACCTTATCGTCTATCAACAGAAAGATTCAAAATTGAAATGGTTTCCATCCTTGATCATAACAAATGCTACTGCCGTTGCTGTTGCTGCTATTGCTGATGTTCGTTTCGCCACAGAGTGATACGCAGCAACGCGTCAGCAGTACTTGGATATCGTTTGGGATTGAGAAGTTGTCCGAATTGTTGGCTCATTTTAATAATTAATTCTATTGGGTTTCATCTGGTAATTACCTGGATTTGGATACTATTTCATGTTATAGGATAGCGCATTCTTCTCATTTTCTTTCCAGGAAGGGGAGCATACCGATCAGCTAAACCAATGGCTTCTGCTCCAGCGAAACGTTTGATTGCAATCATTACAGGTACTCGTCTTTTAACATATAGATCCTGATTTCCCGATTCGATTTATCTAAATTTCCTGAAATACGTATATTTTATCATCCAAATTTACATGTTTAATATTCATTACTTTAGAAGTGGAGATTTTGCGTTTCATGAATTCATTTGTATTTATTTAGATATCACAAACCACTTCTTCCATCTTCCCCTTATTTTCTTATCATTCATTTTACTTTAAGTTTTAAAGGTGCAAGTTCTGGGATTGGTAAAGCCACGGCAGAATATTTTGCTGAAAAGGGCTATAATTTGTCATTGAACGGTCGGAATGAAAAGGCACTCGAAGAAACAGTTAACAATTGCATTGCGAAAGGCTTAACCAAAGATTCGGTATCATTGAATGGTATTTTAAATATATTTGCAATATTTCCCGCTGGTTACTGACGTAAGTACACAGAAATAGGAAGGAACTTCACTAAAAATTCTCATAAAAGGAATGAAGAATGCTTATTACCTTTTGTTGGACATGATAAGAAAATAGTTTGATTGAGATCTAGTATTTTTAGATATTTTTAATATTTTTCTGACGAGGGGTCAAATATGAAAGGATTTGAATATGAATTTAAGTAAAATAAGAGGAGGTAAGGCCACCTTTGTTATGAAGTAAAAATTTTTTTATATGGATATGGAGGTAAGGCTTTTTTATGTGGAGGTAAGGCTTGAGTCTGAATATTTGTGGTGGATGCACGCAAGAATACATATAGTTTCAAGTTACTGTAAAAAACTCTTTCAAATAATATAAGCCACGATAGAAAACTGTACTGTTTATTTATTAGAAATGAATGATAATTGATGTTTCACTGATGTGCAACAATTTACAACATGCTTGGAATCCAATAGTGAGATATTGAATCCTTTTGTATGCTTCCATTGTTAGCTTACTCTACTCAAGATTTTTTTTCAGAACGTATATTTCTCTAAGCTGTCTAGCCTTGTCACTTTTACACTCCCAGTGGATTTCACAAAATTCTGTTGGAAAAAGTTCCAGCTAAATTCTTAGTTATTTAGATTCTGACTACAGTGGGAGATTTAACGGATGAAAAAGTTGCAATCTCTCTGATCGAGCGTACGGTAGAAAAATTTGGACGAACTGACTCGTTGATTAATGCTGCAGGAGTTCTGGTTAACGGTATAATTTTTAATATAGAAGTAACGATATCTTTAAATGAATAGATTGAGAAAGTAGTCTAAAAAGTAATATTGTAAGATCTCTTTGAAAATGGCCAGTTGTGTAACACCGGATGCCCTAAGTGAGTGAACGCGACAGCTTGGTGATTTTGGCTATGTGGAGAGAAATTCTAATACATTTGTGAAAAAAGCTGCACCATCTAGGAAAAGTTATGGACTGTTCTATGGAAGATTATGACTATCTAATGGATATAAATCTTCGAAGTATTGTTCAATTGACGCGGAAAGTCATACCTTATCTTATCAAAACGAAAGGTTCAATCGTGAACGTAAGCAGTATTAATGGTCCATGTTCTGTTAGTCTTTTTATTGTTCTTCATCAAGCATTCAAAAAAATTAAGTTACTAAGACTTAAATTATATTCAGCTGACGTTATTTAAATTGGTAATTATATTTAGG